CTGGATCCTTGGACTTCTCTATTTTGGCTCTTGTAGGTAAGTGACTTTGAGCAGAAAGAATGAAATATCTTAAGTTGTTGTATATTGAGATCTGAACTTCTTGCAAGTACCTATAGGTATTCTTGACTTTATCTCGCAATTTTTTAATTATATTATATGAAATTTTCCTCTATTTCCTCTGTTTTCTAGATAAGACATCATTCTGAGTGCTTAGATTGATAATTTCAAGCATACAGAATGGATTTAGAGGTGCACACATTTCCTTGAAATAAGCAGCAGCCCTGTTTCTAATGTAATGGGATGATTCTGAAAAATCACAGACTTACGGCTTATTTTTAACGGAAGAATTATTTCCTTTTAGTGAACAAATAATCTGTAACATGGAAAGCTGCAGCACATAAGCCAGTTCCTAGCTGCATCAATTCTCCCCAGTAGCAAATCTAGCAGTGTGCATTCCATATTTCTTTGGTTAATAATGTGAACTAAATTGCATTTGGTAAATAGAAAGATGTGTCTTGCAAAAGTTTTCCAACATCTCACTTAGAGTCTAATAAACTGTGTGTTGTTTGCTCGCTTTGTGGCTCCTCTAAGTTTCTAATCGTATGGTATAAGAAAAATCGATATCTCATTTCTCACATCAGCCAGATGGATAGGCCAGGCAAGGGCTTCAGCCAAGTCTTTGTGCCATTCTGACAGGGAAAAAACATGTTTTCCCTATTTCGAGCTCTACTGTTTACAAGAAGCTATTGACAGCTTTGCAGTACTTTCTCCAGGTAAGATCTATCATGGTAGAGCTTTAAAGTCTTGCTGGCTCTGCTGTATTTCCTACCCCCCCTCAACTGCCAAGTACAGCTATAAATTCTTAAAGTGGTTTTCACTTTTGCATGTGCTCACTAAACGTTGAGATTAGCCAAGGAATAAAGGAGATGCTCTGGATTTACAGTCAGACAGACTTATGCTGATCCTTACAAAAAGAGGTGTCATGAGATTTTGGCTTACAAAAACCTGGCAACTACACTTCTGTGCCCTCTGATGAAATTCATTTCCCGGTATGGCTCTATGGCCCACCTCTTTCTATCTGTTGCAGAACAAGTTGGTGGAGAACCAACTGGCAGCAGAAACAGTGTGCTTTTCTGCTCTGTGGATATCATAGAACGCATTAAAATAACAGGTAATTTTTAATACCAGGACTAGGGACAATACCAATATTGGTATAAAAAAAATCTTTTAAGTTAAAAGAGAGTTGAAAAAAGTTATGTTTTGTAATACACTCACTGATAAAATTAAAAACATTATTAGTGAAAGCATTGATTTTCTACTTCTATGCACAATATATCTTAATCGCATCCAAAAAAGAGTATTAAAAGATAATTGGACCTCGTGATTGCCAAGTGAATCACTCGTTGTATGAGAATGCCAAGTAAGAATTATCCATTTAGCTCTGGTTGGCCGTCCCACTCACAGTGCTTATTACATGTTATTTCTTCTATAGAGGGACGCTGCTTGGCAAAATGAAACTGCATTCACTTGCCTGATTCATCCTCTCTTGTAAAACCTCTGTATTAACAGAGACTGAGTGTATGAAGAGTCCTCCATGACAGCTTCTTCATAGTTATGTCATTGCCTATGAGATGGTTTTGAAGCTGGCTTCAAGAAAGCTAGTGCTAGCAGTTACTGTATCTAAAGCTCTATCAGCATGGCCTAATTCCCCTGTAAAGCAAGAAATCTAAAATTCAAATGCAGGTACTCCATTTTCCACGTCACCCTCAGGAGAGCTACAGAGGCAGGTTACCTCGAGGAAAGGGAATTTGTGTGCAAATGCAGGCCCTTCATAAGCTGGTGGAAAGCAGCAGAATACAAACGGGATCTGTGTAACACTCTTACAGGCTCCTAAAGTGCAAACCAGACCAAGTTCTATGGTGAACCCCAAAAGCCCAGCCTGGGTCTCCCCTCTGCTTTGCCACATCCAGTTCCTTCAGGCTTTGAGGTCTCTGGGGAAGCCAGTCCTTGTGCAGACACAGGGTGACAACAGCCACCCCTGGGCTGAGTTTGGTTACTCTGGGGCTTCATTGACACAACCCTACAGCGACATGTTTTTATCACAGTGCAACACTGTAAGCTCAAGGGCTTGGCCCTTCATTTCCCCTTGAGTTTTCAGGTTCAAAAATTTTAAACTGAAACCAGGAGGCTCAAACCAGAGGCAATGTTTGTGTGAGTCTCAGAAAACTGAAACGAGGAGCAAACCATGACACAGTCCTCCCTGATGCCTGGACAAAGCTATGGAACACAGCGGGACTGCATAAAGCTTATTAAATGACAGAGAGGAAGCTATGGAATCCAGCTTTTGGGTTGCAAAATTAAATATAGTGAGGTATGGATCCAATTTCTTTTCATTTGTAACTTCTGAAGTGTAGTCGGTTCAGATGAAAGGTTCCATTTTGGCTGATATCAATTGAAAACTCAAAATTGATGACACCACACATCAGCATAGGCAAAACCAGAATATAATTTTCCCTTCTGTACCTTTTGAAGCCTACTTTTGTTAAAAGTATACTGTTCTTCTGGAAATGGAATTTTAAGATCATTTTATCAGAGACATCACAAAGTGCAGGGAAACATTTGCACAACTTATTTTCAGTTGGTCTAACTTCAAGACAGAACTTGGATTTAAGGAAGGAGCAGAAACCATGACATAAAAGCAATACTTCCTCCTTTTCTGGCCAATTGCATGCTCAGATTGCACTTAAAATCCTCAGGGGATGTACAGATTGAGATGAAATATTGGTTTGGTGTAATGGCAGCATGGAGATCATAGCTGTAAGCTATTTTTGTAAGGCATAAATTGGTGCCTGAGCACAAAGGCATGGGAATCTAGTATTCAGTTCATATATTATCACTAATTATAATTTTTTACTTGATGGTATATTATCACTCATAAATTGCTTATCACATAAGGTATTTTTTCCACCCATAACCACACAACTTGTGCACAAGGTGCTGCTGAAAAATGCCAAGCTTAACTAAGAAAAAGTATATTTTTGTTATGTGTAATTCTGTGCCCAGTTGAGAAACTGTTCCTTCTCACTACACCCAGGGCATTGAACAGCTCCTTTCCCAAAGAGTTTATTTTTTAACAAGGCAGGGCAAGCAGAGGCTGAGAGAATGAGATGCAGCAGCCGAGAATTGAGACTGTGACAGTTTGCAGTCAGCATGTTAATTCAATGCCTTCTTTCCTTAAAAAAGAAAGCAAGGATGGGGTACAGAGGCTGAGAAGTAGAATCTTGACAGCTTTGGAACAAGTGACTTATTAGTATGGAGGACAAAAGTCTTAAAGTTCAATCTGCTGCTGTGACTTCTTTCCTAAACTGTTGGTCGTCTTGATCAGTTAATTTTCAGCATTTCTCAGCATGTGCCCTTATCCTCAACCTGCAGCTGAGAACATTGTTTCTGGAACTGGGTTGTGCAGAGCAGGTGCCAGCGTTTTCACTCTGGGCTCACAGCTCATCAGTGGCTCACAGAATGTCTGCTGGCATCAGCCACAGGTGTGGTTCTCGCTGCAGCCCTTGCTGTAGTCTTCATCCCTGGTTGAAGGTGTGTCTCTGATATCCCATGCTGCATTGTTTTCCTTCCTTTCTCACATCTATGTGGATCAGAGCATGGCACACCTATTTGGTCCAAGTGTCCAACAGCATTTAAGGTCTATCTCAGATCAGCCTTACAGTGTTTTGAGATGTTATTCGGAAGGAACATGTCTTTCTCCTTAATGTTAAGAACAAGTTGCAGCAGCTCCAGCTAGCTGGAATTCCTCTGATATGACAAAGGAGCTCAGGAGACAACGTGGGCTGCATTTCATCTCAATCCTTTGCCTTTAGCCATGTTCACCAAAGCCTCCTACATTACAGTAAAATCTTGCCACTCATCCTGCTCTGGTGAACAATAGTCCACTGGCTTCAGCCAGACCTGCAGGACCTCGCTGCCCAGAGGGGTGGTGTGGTGGCTGCTCACCTGCCCTGATCTCCTCAGGACACTTGCTGTAGTCTTCTGGCCACTGCTTATGAGGGCAGTATCAGCCACATCTACTACCCACCACTAGTATTTTGCTGTGGGGAGGTTTGCGCAGGTGGTAGCATGCCCAGGTGACAATCGCTAAACTGCTAGTGAGGTTTGAATACAATACACAAAACTGTGCCTTCTGGGAGGGAGGTTGTCCAGAACCCATAACACCATGAGGAAAGGAAGAATGGTGAACTTTACTTGAGACAATCAGCAGCTGGATTAAACAGTAGGTAGAAGATTACCAGCAGATTTATAAGAGAAGAAAATCAGCTGGGAAAGACATCTCAAGGAAGTGTGGGAAGTTGTGAGCAGGGACAAGACCTGGGAGTGGGACAGGGAAGCAGCGGCCACCGAAGCCAGGGCTGGCACTGCCAGAAGCAGCTTGCCACTGCCAGACAGTGCGAACAGCCTACATGCAGCCAGCATGCTGATGGGTTGCAGTGTTGTGGGGTGTGGGGGTGCTTGTGGGGTGTGTTCTCACTGGCGGATGGATTAGAGGTAGTGTGTGTGTAGAGCACTTGTGTTTCCCCAAGGAGAGGTGCATGAGTTGGGGAACCAGCACCCCAGAGGAGGTGGGTGCACATAACCGTGCCTCTCTGTGTGTCCATGCTTTGAAGTTGTGGGGATTACTCATGGAAAACATGCTTAGAAATTTCTGGGTGTTTATCTACATTTGCTAAGTGTCTTGAATTGTGGTTTTTCTGCTGTGTTGCCAATACAGACCCTAAATGTGGAGTTGCATACTTGCCAGTTGGTTAGGTGCTGCTAATACTCAGATAAATGTCTCTGATCCCCTCTGGCATAGCTCAGATAGCTGAGCTCTGTCCCTGTGGGGCACCCTGCAGCTGTTCCCCATGCCATGACCTCACAAACCCCGCTGTCATGGAGGAGCAGATGACCTCACGATCCAGCCTCCGGACCCCAGGAACACCTGCTCTTCCCTCATGTCAACAGTGAGAGCAATTAACCTTGTGCTTCCTGAGACTGAGGTGTATTTGGCTGGCTCCAGCATAGATGGCCAACTGGTTCTGAACCTCAGGAGTACCCTGGTGGACCCTATAGTGAAGGTGGAGCTTGTGGGAAGAGGCTACCTGAGATGGCTTGAGGAGGAAAATCCTGAATGGGACTATGAGAAGAGCATGGCTTGCACCAACCAGGCTGTCTACATCTCCAAAACACAGAATTTTCGCATAGAGGGTAAAATGCTGGAACAAGGCGTCAGTTAACTGAAAAGCATCTTAACGCTGGGCTAGGGAAGGCAGGATATGGGTAGGAAGTCTTCCTTTTGCCAATGTCCATGTGCTGTTTCTATCCCATGGCATAATCTTTTTCATTAAATCATATGGCAACCAGGGCTTTGCGATGAACAGTAGCATTCTGGCATGGTCAGCACTATTTGAGAGCATGAGCAGTCCCCCATGAGCTGGTGGCTGTGTCTGAGAAGTGAACATTTATTGCACAGAAATCTATCACAACCTGTCTAGCAGCAGGTAGGAAATTTTTAGTCATGGGTGCATCTTTGGTCATCTAAAATGCTTACCTTCAATGTTCTTGTTGACTTACATGCCAGTAAGTTATCTGCTGTGTATACAGGTTTTGTTGTATTCACAACTGTAGTAGAGGCACAGTTAAAGTTACTGCTATATCTTTACTGAGAGACAAGAAAGATGTGAGATATACACTGAAAACACCTGCAAAAGTGTGATTATTTCATGGAATCACAGAACAGCTGAGGTTGAAAGGCACTGTGGAGGTCATCTGGAACAACCCACCTGCCCAAGCAGGGCCACCTGCCCAGACTTGTCAATTTCTCAAAGGAAGGAGACTTCTCAGGGCAACCTGTTTCACAGTGAAAAAGTGTTTCTTGATGTTCAGAGGGAACTTCTTGTGTTTCAGTTTGTGCCTGTAGCCTCTTGTCCTGTCACTGAGAAGAGCCTGGCTCTTCCACCTTCCCTTCAGATATTATACACCCCAACAAGCACACATATAAATACAGAGCTAACTATTAAAATGTACAGATTTTTAAAAAAGAATAAAGTCAGTGGGATGTAATGACCACCTAATCCACTGAATTATTCCAGGGAATGTTTAAAACAAATGGAAGCCTCCTAGGAGGTGCACTGCTGTTTCTCAGCTCCCCTTTCTTAGGGTTTGTTGGGAATCCTAAAAATGTAGTCTATAGATCATAGGTGGTAGCTGCCTTAGATTAGTTTAGCACTAAAGTTAGACTGTGCCAAAGTGTGGAAACTGTGCTTTCGAGCTATGACCTGCAGTGGTCAGGCTTCATTTCGTCTCACACTTGAAGGATCTAGCTTGTCCAAAGGTCATTTTCCACTTACACATGAATTAGAGTCTTAGCCTGGACATACTGTGGAATGCTGTCTCTTCGTGGAGGCTACTGGATGTTACAGCCCTGACGGAAAAGAGGGAGAAAGGCTGAGTGTTGGAAAAATTATTTTTGCCATTACATGAACAAGTACCTGTAAAGCACCTGGGGTCTGGATCTTCTCAGCTAAAGTTCAAATTGGTGTTGTTTAAAAACGCACTTGAATCTGTATTCTGCCACCCACAGATATATTCCCATTTTCAAAAGAGTTGAGCATCCGCATCCATCAAGACTTGCCAAAGCAGTGCCGTTTAATAACACATTTTTACCACTGTAACTCAGTCTTTTTCCAGCATTGATTACATCTCTGTAGAAGTGCTCTAACAAGTCCAGGAAAGCCATTTTAAAACATGAAAGAAGATATGGACCTGACCCTTCTTACCCTGAATACTCTGTGCTCCCCACTGATGCTGGCGTACAAGGAACGTATCTTTGAACAGATTGCTGCCAGTGTCAGCTTTTGACACTCAGCTGCTAATATGCTCTTGATAGCACGTTGCTATCTGGTGTTTGATCTTACCACATGCCCTACTTGGGTTACATATAATGTCTCTGTAGGAAGTATATATACATGGATCCAGGTGCCTGCTGACATATTTCTTTTTAACCCTGGTAAACCCCGCCACCACACAAGGAACTCAGTATTGTCTCTCTGTGAGATAAAGACTGCTGGAGGAACTGACTCTTGGCAGCCATCGAATATGACTGGTAACAGTTTTAGGATAATTAGATTCAGAAAAGAAAAAGAAGGGTTTCAGTGCTACCAGGGATAATCACCCTCATCACCAGCAGAAACATCCCAGTCGGAGCAAACCAGAGGCAGGAGCTCACAGGGCCTGGACTACAGGCAGGTTGAAACTCTTCAATCACTGCTGTGCACCATGAGTTGCACCCTGGGAAGTCCCTTGTGTCCTTCACGTAAAGGCCACCCCTCAAGTCTCTCCTATAAGCAGCCTCTTTGCACTTTCCCCACAGCTGCAGCTGTCTCCTCCCTTCCCGGAAAATACAAGATGGAAGACTTTATGAATTAGGTACCAATAAATTATCCAGAATTGACTTAAATTAACTGTGTGACTGAGGTTCCCAGGTTCTGCTGAACACCGAGACACATGGTATCTCCGGGTGCCTCTTGGCAGCTGGGAAACTTTCTACAGGGTAATTAATTCTGTTGCATGGTTTCAGGGAAAAAACAGTTTCTGGAAGCATGTAGAGGGCAGGTGCTCCTGTACAACAGGGCTCACACCCAGCAGCCATGGGAAGCCCGGGAAGGCAAGTCCGCCTTGGCTTCCAGGGTGAGTTCAGGGACATTGTTGAAGGCCACCATCCTTTTGAGCCTGGGGACCTCAGAAAGTAAAGCACAGTTCAGCAAGTGGGCACAATTCAAAGAAGTCTCTTTAGAAGTGATGCAAAACAAGCCAGAGAAAGTGGGATTAAAGCTGTACATAGAATGAAATAAGTATCTGCAAACCTTTTTGCACCACAGGGCCTACTTCAGCCCTGCAAACAGGGCCAGGCTCTCAGACCATACCCGCAGCAGGGATGGAGAAATGTGAACTCTCTCAGTAAATCCCCACACCGTGCTGGGGCTGCAGAACAGATCACTCACACCAGGGTCCAACTGCAGATCATTCCAGGAGGGGAACACTGTTTTCTTTCAAGGTTAAGTTGCAGATCTGCTCACAGTTCAAAGTCCTTCCTTCCATCAGAACAAGAACATAGCCAAAGTAACTTGAAGACAACATTGTGTGAGATAAGGCCCTGGGAATATCAGATTTCTACAAACTGCCAGAATAAACAGCATGACTTTTTTATATTGCAGTTATCTAAGAGGCTGATGAATTTTAGTTTCCTCCCTTTCAGATTGTTTTAGGCATTTTTTTTTCTTCAGAGTTACAACTCTGATTGATTGAAAATGCTGTTATGCTATCTGCTAAATCTCCCATGCTGTGAGGAAACAATATCCAGGCTCTTCTGCCAACAAGAATATCCAGTTTAGATTATTGAAACTTGAGGTGTCGTTGAATTCATCTGAAAAAGGATGCAGTCAGCAGCACAAAATTCTAGCAGCCTCACATCCTCTAATATTGTGGGTTCAAAGTGAAGTTTTGGCACAAACTACAAGGAGGAAGGAAAGCTTAAGTCTGGATGATAAACTGCCAGCAGATATATGTGTTTAAAAGAAATAGGTCTTGGATGAAGAAAAGGGTCAAGAGCTGGTCTTATCTGGGCAGAAGAGGCCAAATTTATCCTTGCACAGGTGGGATAGTCTTTCATTCCTTGGAGGCAGTGGGACTTCACCCACAAAAAATTCTGAATTTGATTCAGAGGAAGTGGCACAGAAGAAAATGCAGACATCTGAAGGAATGGATCATAATTTTTTTTTCTCACAGTTTTGCAGAGAAGGTGTCAAATACTATTTTTTTTTGTAATTAGGGGTCTTTTGCACAAGTGAAACAAAAGTGTCACATCATACACGCAGGTGTTGTAGACAATGATAAAAGAGGAGTGAAAGTTATCGCACCCCTTTACTCCCAAAAAGCCTGTTAGTGCTTACTGAGAAAGTTAAGAGTCTGTGGCATTACATTTTGATAAGTGAAAATTCTAAACAATTTGTGAAGAGCTGCAGGTTGCTTACCTTGTCTTAAAATGAGGTAGATTAGCAGTTCTCAAGTCTGCCATCTGAGAGGGGTCTATACATCCATCAACTGACCTGCAGAGGTGATGCACAGTCCACCCCACAACACGCCTTTATGGGACTTTGGGTGCAATACCAACCCAAGGTGGTAAGGACACCGTGGCTTCTGGAAGACACTTCATGGCTTGTGTAAGGTACAAACATTCTAAAGGTTTAAAAGGCATCTGATAGGAGTGTGTTGTTTGGCTTTCAGATGGATGGCTGGATCCTGGGGTCCACACCTTTGACTTCCACTTCAACTTTCCTTCAAGTATTCCCTCCACATTCAACAGCGAAATTGGCTGCATCTCCTACTTTGTTCAAGGGACTTGCTGCAGTGGCCAAGTTGTCTTAGCTAAAGAGGAGAGATGTTTACTGCTGCAAGGAATTGCTGGTAACCACAGAAGACCCATGAAAGACATGGTAAGGGAAACAAGCTATCTGAGCTGGAGACACATGGACCTACCCTGTTCTGATCCAGAGCTGTAACGGCTTACTACTGAGTGTTCATGAACTTTTAGCTCTGAGTTTTCTCCTTTTAGCATTCAAATGACACTTCAGTACCTTCTGCCATCTTTGTCCTAGGGCTTGCACCAAGATGTTTATTTTCTAGCATAGAAGGTGCAGTGTAAGACTTGAAGAATGACATGTAGGGAGCACTTTGAGATCCAGGATGAGGGAGAAGGGAAGTTATTTGCTTATTTTGGAGTCTAAGCTTTGTGTTAACATCACTAAATAGGAGGTGCCTTTTTTACCGAACTCTACCGAGTCTGGGAAAGTCAGTCAAAGGTCATCAAGATGTCCAGAACGTGATGATTCTAATAATTTTGTGGCCTCCTTCTAAACCTGGGTACAGATAGCTAAAGGTGACGGTGTTTATGTGTGCACACATGAATTCTTTGCACATATGCTCAGGAGGACTGTGCTAATTCAGTTGTGTCACATTCAGTGCAGCGAGAAAGACTGTCCTCTGGGTTAATGGTGGCCTGTGGGGACAGTTGAGCAGCTGCAGCTGTTGTCTTAGGACAACATGCATGTGGTGTTTGGGAATCGCCCCGTATTCAGCACAAGAACTCAGCATACTTTGCCTTTCTGTTCAACCTCTCCATGCAGGCCCCACTGGTGGTGGAAGCTAGGAAAGATATAGTTTATTTCTGCTGCTTCAGACGTGGCTCCGTGATCCTTCGGATTTCCTTGGAGAAAAATATATTTTGCCCTGGTGAGACCATTGTTTTCATGACAGATATCGCCAACAGGACATGCAAGTATGTTAAAAAGCTCATTTTCGCTTTACGCTGCATTGTCCTGTATCAGGGCTTCAGCAGTAGGGGAGAACCATGCTCCTTGGAAGACCAAAGCGAGGTGACAAGGTTGGAGTCCCAGACAGACACAGCTCCCTTTGAGACCATGAGACTTACCAGTGCACTGGTTTTGCCAAAACCCATGCCTGTCACCAGCACTGTCATGGAAAATAAAATCATGGCATTTAGATATGAGCTGGTAGGCACCTCTAGCCTTCCTTGTACCATGTCCACCATCATGGCCAGAGTGCCCATCATTATAGCAGCCACACCAAAGCATTTCTCTGTGGAGCAGAAAACCATGACTCTGCATGAAAATGAAGGTGACCTCTCAAAGGGGGTGAGCCTTCACAGAGACAATTCTGAGGCTGACCCAGGAGCAATGGCCAGCAGATCCACAGAATAAAAGATTTTTCTGCAAAATCCATGCACACTTGCTGTATGCTTTCACAGGAGTAGCCTGCTTTTGCAGAGATGGGACAGTGATTCCCAAAACAAGAGGAATAAAGCTAGCCATAGCCCAAGATCAGGAAGGCACATGAGGGGAGCCCATAATTCTGTTACACTGACCCCTGATAACTGGATAAGGAAGAGCAGGAGACTCAGCAGTGGCCTAAGAAGAGAGGGAATGCTTTGCAGGCCCACAGGGTGGCCATACTTCTGTCCATGGGAAAAGACCCCACCCCAGCCTTAGCTAAAGGTGTGAGGCGAACATGCAGACCCTAGCAGGAATGCAGAACAAGCTGTTTGAAAGCCAGCTGTCACAGGAGCGGGATGTCTGGCAGAAGGCAGACTGTTTACCGCAATGGGACCCACAGGAGATGCTCTCAGCATGGCAGGGTGGGTGGCTGGAAAGCCTGGGAGACCCCTGGGGTGAGGAGGGCAGCCAGGCAGCTCAGGGACATACAAGATCTGTGGCTGCTGAGGCAGAGGGAAGGCAGCAGGCTGAGAAAGCAACCATTACCCAGCATCACCCCTGCAATGAGAGGCAAAGATCAGCCACCGGCTCTGCTCCACTGCCACCCACATGTGAAACCATGGGGTCAGCTCCATGCAGAGCACGCCCACAGTGAGCTGGTGGGTGTTATGGTGCTGGGGGCAGGCTGAGACAGCAGGCGGTCATCCTGCCCAGCAGAGGGACCTGGGCAGGCCAGAGAAGAGGCTTGTCCCAGGGATGTGATGTGCATGTGGGCCATGGTGCAACCACACATGTGCGTACGTGTCAGTGTGGGTGACCAGAAGGCTTTGAGGTTAGAAGGTTGTTAAGAATTTTATTGGTGTTTATTAACATTTGCTAAGTCTCTAGTAATGCGGTTTATCTATCTGTTGTATTGCTGATATTGAAGGTCCCCTCTGACTTTGACCAGTCTGTGATTCCCCATAAAGTAATGGGAGCAAAGACACAGGGTGCTTCCACCCTCTTGCCCCACTGCCAGGCTGGGGCAGAGGGATGGGGTGATGCCACCTCTCCCGGTGCCAAGTGCTTGCTGTTGAGAGAGACATCTTGCTGCTCTGTGACCAGCCCTCACCCCCACTCACAGAGCGCCTTGGCTTTCTCCTCCCACCTCTGGAGACTGCTTAGAAATGAGGTTACACCGACCAACTTTAATTTACAGCAGCAGCAGGTCTGTCAGTGGTGACTTACATATGCTTCTGGCAGCAAAGTGCCAGGCAACCCCAGCCCAGGGGTTTGCATGTCCACAGCCGTCCCCACAGCTGTCCAGGCGCCTGGCTGGTGCAGTGTCACCACACATCCAGGGACTGCGGGGTTTCTCCCACCACCTGCCTTTCACCCATCCCTGTGATTGACCTTGATTGGCACCCTCCCCCCCGGCAAGTCTGGCTGAGACACAGCACAGCACTTGTCACGTCCTGCTGCTCACATGCGCTCTCACTGGGCTAATGTTTCTCCTCATCTTGTCCCTAAAACCAGTATTTATCACGCTGACACTGACAGGGCCCTTTCACATCTCAGATGAGACCGTATATCAGGACGCTACGTGCAGAATCCCATTACAAATGGATTGTTGTTTTACAGGTCTCCCTGTTTCATCGTTCCAGCAAAAATTAATGCACTCAGAGCCTACATGACAGGAACATGTCAGAAGAATATTTTTTGCTGCTTGTCGTTTGAACTTCCAGCGTTGCTTCTCAGTGACACTTGATGCAGCTGAAGGAAAAACACAACCTGGCATAAATTCTGAAGCTGCCATCACATAAATACTGGCAGTCTTTGCATTTACTATGAAAAGGAATTTAACTACTTCCTTTTCGCAAAATATAATTTGCAAAGAAACAATAGGATGTCAACATTTGGCGGGATAAAAGAGCAGCTTTGTAACTTCTTTGCGTGTTCCTTGCTGTGATATGAAGCACTGCTGAAATCTATTTTCCAGACTCACAATGCCTGAAGCCAGACTGAGATCAGCGAAATCAGGAAGGCAGTTGAGGAACAAGTGAGGTATCTACTTCTCATTATGGCCACCTTGCAGACATTTTCATGGCAGGAGACAACGGGTGTCTGATGCTAACAAACCTGCTTTCTGATTTCAAAAAACTTCATTTCTCCAGATAGAATATATGCCAGGGTGAAATACGCCTAATCCCATTCCTGGGATGTTTCATGCAGTGTCTGTGTGTGTGTGTGAATCTCCTGAAGCAAGTAAAACATTTGACAGCAACAAATCAGAAAGGCCAAAGTCCTAATAAAATAGACAAACAGTGGGATACTTGACTTCTGGGAATTTGGGCAAGTGATTTCATATTTTAGGATTTTACTTTTCCTTTCTACCTTCAGTCATTTTGTATTGCAAATTCTTCAAGCAGATCCTTTCCAATCTTTATAGTCTTATTTGTGTAAGGCACTTACAGCCTAATATAAATGGCAACGAGCAATAAGATGAGTGGGCAGTTTGGGTAAAGGGCATTTTTCTAGCAGATTACAAAAGATGGAGCAGAAAGGTCTCTAGGAAAAGGTCTTGTCAACTGCCTCATTCACTTCTCCACAGAGATGGTGGAGATTTTTGTGATGTAAAGTTAGAGCCATTAAAACACCAGGAGGGACATTTGGGCTATGTGTGTTTAATCCTTCATGTGCCTTTGGCGAGGCGCTAAAATACACCCAAATGAAGTAGCTGCCTTTGAAGTCTAGTCAGACCATTATTACACTGTGTCTTTGTAACACTCTTTAGAGCAACAGGGCTAACCCTGCAGGTGCAGTGACCTAAAATACCCATACAGCTCACGTGGATCTGAGCTTGTACCTTTGAATGGCCCTTGCATGAGTTTCACAAACCCGTTACATAGAGGGGTTACTGACTAAGGGTTCGCCACCATGCGCTCTTATGTGATACAGGTATTGCCTGGGCTTGAAAACTGAAAAAAAATAATCAAAAAACACTCTTTTAGGTGCAACAATAGACATTTCCATGGAGGTTTCATTAAACACTGCACACTAAGCCTACCTGCAGTTGGTAGGTCCAACAAATAATTATACTGGCCCTCGTAGGAGACTTGCTGTGGAAACAGAGCAGGAGGTCGACTTCTGCCACTTGTGCTTTAGCTGCGTTTATATAAATAACAAACTCTTTAGACCTTGCAATCAATATTCTTTTTTCTTTTTTTTTTTTTCTTTTTGAATGAGCGGTGCCTGAAGTCTCCCCATAGGAAAGAGTTTGATCTCTGTCCCCTTTGGGATTATTTCTGAGGAGTAGCTTTCCTGTGGAGCTGGTGGGATTTGTGTGGGTCAGAAGTGATAGAAAGGGTGAAAAGAGAGTAAAGAGATGGCACACATGAAGGGAAAATGGCTATATTGTCTGCTCACAATTTAATTTTAACCTTGCACAGATTTTGGAAAACATTCAATTTTTGTATGGCTTCATGGAGCAAAAATAGAAATCTTTCTCTTTCCAGTAACCATGGAAACATAGAAACAATGATTACTGGAAATTATCTGTACTTGTGGGATCAGGTTGGTGTTATCGCTGGATGACACACAAGTTCAGCCACACGTGCATCCTCAGCAGTGTTACCTGGCAAGGCTGCCACAGCCAACAGGGAAAGAACTTCACAAAGGTCCTCAAACATCTGGAGCAGCTCGAGCTGCTGCAGTTCTGGAATATATTAACTTTACCTGCTGTTGGCTCAAGCAATGCCTGCTTTCAGCAAATGTTTTTATGAATGAGTAAATACTGAAACTGTGACCATGTTTGAGTACATGTTTCATTGTCCAAAAGACTTAGTAGCCACCAGCACATTGACTCCTGTTATGTCCCCTTAAACCTGTCAAGGAAAGGTCACTAAGGCATGGAGTGTCCCAGAAGCAGTCATCATTGACATTTATCTCTGTTTCAAAGGAGGGAGAGTCCATCAATACCTTTTTAAAGACCTGTTTTTGAATAAGATAGTCTCTTATTACCTAGTTCCTTTGCCTTTGTCTTTCTATCCTTTAAAATTACACAGGCTCTTCAGATAAGCTACTGCTTTAAGACACAAATGTGGATTAAATCGTATTGATTTCTTTGATCTTTGTACATTCATCCTCTCCTGTACTGCTTAAACCTCCTGCTTTTCTGCAAATTTGTCAGTCTTCCTTTCACATTTCTTTAAGTAACCTGCCACCTTCCCAGACAAGAACTTGAATGGGGCCAGCTTTCTTCTGATTGCCGCTGCTAGACTTGCTGGGAGGGAAGGGCACCTTAGTTGCTCTAACTACACCTTAATTAAAACAAAACAAGCCCCGACCAGCCTGGCCTTCATCCACATTACATGCAAGCATTGGTTTCTAATTTATTTTTTCTTTTGGAGACCTGTTCTAACACTCTGGTGTGCGCAGGCCTACGTGAGGCCAGTAATGGAAAGTCAATATGAATGGAAGTCTGAGAAGAAAGAAGTCTTTTTTTCAGTTAATCGAAATGATTTTTCAGTTAATAAAGATCACAGTATGGTTGTATAGATTAATGGCTTGGGCAATGCATAAGTTCAGCCATTCAATTTGCTTCCTGCTGACCAATCCATGCAGGTTTTGCAAAAATGTCATAATCCATTCTATTAATGGGTGCTACTGGTTCTTCTAGATGATACATGATAAAGTCTGACTCTTTCATAAGTAATGTTAAACATTCACTCAAGGTAATTGATTACATGAGCCAAGGATTGCAAATTGAAGAGATAATTGACTTCTTCAATATGCAAATACAGTACCAGGCAATAAACAGACACCAGTTACATCAGTATGAAATATAATTACAATTAACTTCAGCATCACAAAGAAACTGTTTTGATTTTTTTCAATGCTTGCATGCCGTTTTCTGCTTTCTACTAGATGTGTAGCATCTAGTGAGAACTGGTGTGGATTCACTGCCACAGGGCAGAGTGTACCTGGACGGAGCCACGCTCACATCTTGA